TTTTTTGTCTTTTTAATAACAACTCTACATACAGTTAAGTACGCTTGTGCGAATAGTGAATTTTAGATTCAAAGTGAATTCGAAGCGAATAGCAATATTGGTCGAATAAATTCGTATTGAATTTAAATGGTATATACAGTTGAACATGGATATAATGACAAGTTTCTAGTAAAATTTCTTATAAAGGGGATTTTGTTATATACAGGTTCGGTACAAAAATTCCCAAAATAAATGCCCAAGTTGAGCAAAAGGAGAATTGAAGGCAGAGCTAACCTGAAACACTTATTTGGCGATAAAAAATGGGTTAATATTGCGATAGCAATTATATGTACACTCTCGGCAGGTATTCGCCGCCGCCATATTTCATAACGAGTCCAAATTGATAACATGCCCCCGAGCATTGTAACTTTAGGAGTGGCTAACAGCTTGTGAGCACTGTTAAAGCTGAGATCAAATGTGGTGGCTTTTCTTCATCGCCTGGAGGGTGCATAGGATATATTCCCCCGCGTGTTAGAACTGCCATCGAATGCTCTAACAGCAAGGGAATCACCTGTCCTGAACGAGCATGAAAAAACATGAGGGGGGGGGGGGGCACTCAAGTAGCAACAATGAATTTGATTTTAAGGTTGTGATCGCTCGCGCACGTGCTATCTAGGCAAGCAACAGTGCACTTTTAACGCGAAGAGAGTGTGTGGAAAGAGCACTTTTCTGTGTAGCGGCCATATTTGCATACACCATCGTTTTAGAGAAGTTCCGCAATATCGGATCCAAAAGAGGTGGCGGCCAGCCTTACTTAGTAAAACATTACAATTTGTTCCTGTCGTATTCATTGCACTGCATTCAACGTGTCATCATGTTGTTGACAGAGTGAATCGTGAAGACTACGGTTCCGTGAACTAGCACGCAAGACGAAACCGTGGGACAGGTCGACCTTCAAAGATTTGTCGTCCCCGTGGTGTCAGAGAGTGTCCATCAGCGCTTAATCTGACATCCTTACGGTGGTGACGACACGGTTGTTTGAATTTAAAGGGGAAAAAAAGCAAAACTGAACGTCATGTACGTCATGCGCACGTAGTCAAACCATGCACACGTGCACAGCGCCACGAATACCGCGAGAAACTATTGGGTAAAACACCCTCCATATGCACTGCAGTCCCACATATGTGTCGCTAACTAAAAGCGTGACACATTGCCAATGCAAAAGTAGTTTTCTTATTTTTGGTTTGTAGGAAGAGAGAGGTTACATCCACACATGCGCCCGCGGCAGCAAGAACGGTGGCAACTCCGGGTCACGGGCTGCAGGCCCGCCTCGCGCACACCTGCACGCAATAACAGTACACTCGCTCTCGCTAGGGAGTCGCCGGTGTCACGAGCACGCCTTGCGCATGCCGCTTAGCGCTTCGTCAAGTGCGGGGCAACCGTGGAAGATGCATGCTCGTGGCAAAATGACAAGATCTAGGAGAAAATTTCTAGAATGTGTGTGGTGAAAATCCGGTACATCGAGGTTGTCTTCTGCTGGTACTTTGTTGCGCTAGCCTCGATCTTATCAAGGCTGTCCAGGTGCGACAGCCCGGTTCTCTCCATGTGGCCAATACAACGGCGAATGATGTCGAACGATGCTGCCACGACGAGTACGCACTTGTAGCCAGTGCCTCATCCGGACGATCCTTCATGTCACAAAAGCTGTCGGGCTGGGCATCCTGGGTCCTTGCAACCATAGCTTCTATGTCCTCGTCAACGAGGCTCGCAACAACCTGGACATTGCAGTCTGCTTCCACGAAATCGTCCGCAGACACTTCGTGTGGAACTGCTGCCTAGAAGCGAAATGACTGCTCGCGAAACGCGCCGTTTATGCGCTCGTTGTCTTCTCCGCTTTCTGCAAGTTTCGCAATCATGAAGCCTGCCTTGCGGAAGCAGTCGACGACTGTGTCCGTTTACACGTCTTGCCAGGTGTTGGAGACCTCTGTGGGAGAGAACTTCGCAGAAATTTCCGGCCAATCCTTCGTCATCCACTGCTGAATGTCCTGGCTACTGACAGCTTCGTTTTCGCCAGAAATGGTTTTGCCAACAATCTTGTGGCGCTGCTTAAATCAGTGAAGCCGCCCAGTGTTGTCAGCGAATTTGTTTCACCGAGTGCAGCGGCAAACCATTCGGCCTTGGCCATCAGCATCGGTCCATCCACCGGAATGTTCTTCGCGCGCCCTTCTAAAAACTAGGCATAGAGTGCCTTTTCTACATTCTCATGGGCAAAAGCGTGCACGACAGCCTCCCAATGTTCGCTGCTCCGCCACCTTTGCCTTGATATCTGCCTTGATTTTCAACAAGATACTCGGAGTGCTCCGTGGTATTGCCTGCATCCCGGCTGCGGCGGCGCCTGCATTTCCGATGGAGGCGAAATGTTGTAGGCCTGTGTGCTCAGATTTGGGTGCACGTTAAAGAACCCCGGGAGGTCGAAATTTCCGGAGCCCTCCACTACGGCGTCTCTCATAATCATATGGTGGTTTTGGGACGTTAAACCCCACATATCTATCAATCGAAATCGTCTGCAACAGTCGAACATTTCTCGCCCGTCTCAACACGCCATCAACTTTGTCGCAAAGTCTAGGGTCTTGCGCTTCTTGACGCTGGCCATAGCTACACGAGAAGCCGACAATTCAAGGAGTCCGCAGCGGTTTTGCACAGCATGTGCCCAAAAGAAAAATGCTGCACATGCGATGTTACGTAGGCGACGCGGCAATAGAAGCAACAAAACACTCGCGAGGCGATGGCCACCTGCAAGGGCAACAGCAAAAGGCGTGAGCTGTGGTCGACTGATCAAAACTCGCAAAACAGCAACAATAACAACAACAACAACAACAATAACAACAACAATAACAACAACAAAAAAAGAAGGCGAAACGAGGAGTACGTCGGCTCCTTCGTTCCTGCTCTCCTTCTTGACGCTGACCATAGCTACAGCAGAAGCTGGCAATTCAAGGAGTCTGCAGCGGTTTTGCACACCATGCACACAAAAGAAAAATGCTGCACATGCCATGTTACGTAGGCGACGCGGCAATAGAACCAACAAAGCGCTCGCAAGGTGATGGCCACCTGCGAGGGCAACAGCAAACAGCAACAACAACAAAAACAACAAAAAGAAAAGGTGAAACGAGGACGTCGGCTCCTTCGTTCCTGCTGTCCGAGCCGACGGGTACGGGGAGAGCGCATAGGAGAGAGGTAGAGAAACGAAAAAAAAAAAAAAAAAGAGCCGTTACCCAAGTTGGAGATTATGCGGATTGAGCCCTCTCGTCGTTGCTTTTTTCGAGCGTTTTGGATTTATGCGGAGGCGTGGTGCTGTGCGGAGGTCGCCGGGCGCTGCGAATGCCAAAGCGCATCTTCCATCCAACTCACGCGTGGAGCCGTACTGCCGTGGAGATCACAGGGTGCGGCGAGTGCCGAAGTGCGTCTTCCTGCTCGCGCGGCGTTCGATATATCCCAAGGCATTTAAAATAACCGTTCGATATAAATGTGCAAATTTGTATACTTTAAAAAAAAAAATTTCAAGGGGATAACTTTCGAGTTCTATATACCCGAAAATTATATATATGTGGGTTTGATATATCTGTGTTCGACTATATACTATGAGCATATAAGCTGGTGTAACAACCTTTGAAACTGAAATGAATTGATGTAAGAGTAATAGTATCTTCATTCAACCATTAAGGGGAGCTTGGAGGCAGTGTGGACTTCTTGATGTGTTTCCATGCCTGAGCACCACCTAACTGCAGTGAAATCACCTTTGCAGGGGTCATATCCAGACTGATATACACTTGAATAGGCTCTTTCACGGCTTAGCACCTTTCTCTGGTTCGCATGAATGCACCTTTACAGGTGGTTACATGTTAAATATGCATCTATTTGTTCATTTTAAAGACTTATAAATTTTTAATCATTTAATATGAATTCATTTCATTGAATTTGATTTCTGCAATATTCGTACAAATATTCAAAGTTCTCAAATATTCGCACAAGCCCACAGTTAAACCATAGTGTAACAGTCAGTGAAACAGGGATTTCTTTTGTTATATTAAAGCTTTGTTAAAGTGTGAAGCACAAATATATTAGAGGAATAATGTTTTACATGGGGAGAAACCACCCAGACCTCCGAACCTAGCGTGTGTTGCATCAACAAAAAGTGTGTGTGACAGTGTTGGAAATAAAATTAGTTTTTTAGCAGCGTGCAAAACGGGGCCAATTAGTTCACCTTCATGGTGCAATCTTCAAAAAAAAAAGCACTAGAAGAGTAACAACACACGACATGTGCTAGTCTAAAAATATTCATGTTCATTGAAAAAAAAAAAGTCAACAGTTTCACTGAAAAGGTGAAGCACTGAATGCGTCTAACTTTGTGCAAGGACTATGGTGAGTCAATGCCACTACTCTTACAGGTAACAGAATGGACAACCATGCTAGTTGGTCTTGATTCATAGTCAATAGAATGGTACAGTGCAGAATACAAGACAAACAAAGCACATGCAGAGCTGCTGTCAGTGTGTGCTTCTTCGTCTTTCATCTTGTATTCTGCAATGTATAATTCAATTCATTATGAATACTCTTACAGGCCTATTTTTATGTTTATTATCCCTTTGTATTCTATGTTTCTGGTCATAGCACATGTCACCAAGCACTGTCGTGCATTATTACGTGTAAGTATTCTTTGCACTTTACTGTGAGCATGTTTAGGCCAGTATTTAATCTACTACAGGTAGTTCACTATTTCATTCAAATTAAGAACCCTTTTGCTTAGATGTGGCTCGAATTGTTACATCCCATATATCATCATCCCACTAATTTGATATCGCTTCAGCGGAAGAAAACAGATTTTGGCTTGATACTTGGTACCTCTTCTTAGGAATATTGTCCGTTTTCTTCTTTATTAAATGCACAGTTTGCATGTACAGATGTTGGCGAGCATTCATCTCTATGAGCAGGAAAAGTGATGGAACAAACTTCTTTTGCAGCAACTATGAAACGCAGTCTTTTGCCTCCAAGACTGAATGGCGTGTACGAGCCATCTCAGCAACGAACCTTCACCTGCGTACAAACCACATTTATGTTTCCTCTGATGACATCAAAGAGGCTGGTTACACCTACATCCTCCCGAAGAACATTCTTAAGAAGTTCATAATCATATCAGATTTAAGGACACAGGTAAGTTGCCTTTTCCTTGTGCATATCTGTATATGACTACATATGTGCATGTCCATGGTATGCAAAAAACATGCATGCACGTGCCTATGTGCACACATATTTGCTCAGTGTGCCTATAATCTTTTGTCTTAAAGGAGTATTACAGGGTTCGGAGGCATTGCAAAGGGGTCATGTTTTGTTTCTTTGGTTTGCACTGTTAACGCTCTCCACACACCAGAGTGTCGGACAACACATAAAATATTCTACTTTGATTTTAAAGTTCTTGTCACCTAGCATCTGCAAGTCAGCTCTGATAATGTGTGTGACCAACATCATCCTGATGAGTCAACAGAGTTTACTCTGTGAACATTGCATCCTTCATGCAGCCTAAATGCAGAAATCACTGGAGCCGCTACATGCAGCGGCCCCACCACGGTAGTCTAGTGGCTAAGGTACTCGGCTACTGACCCGCAGGTCGCAGTATCGAATCCCGGCTGTGGCAGCTGCATCTTCGAGGGTGGTAAAAAGTCTGTAGGCCTGTGTGGTCAGATTTGGGTGCATGTTAAAGAACCCCAAGTTGTCGAAGTTTCCGGAGCTCTCCACAACGGCGTTTATCATAATCATATGGTTGTTTTGGAATGTTAAATCTCACAAATCAATCAAATCATCGCTGGATGCAGCAGTTCGACTCTGTGCCAGCTCTACTAAAGTGAGCCGAAAATGATGTACTGTGCCGTTCTGATAAAATGAATCATATATGCTCCAAAATAGGACCACCACAGCACTAATGAGTTTTGTAATTTGTGGGGTCTCGATGTTTGCGAGAGAGCCACGCCACGCTCTCGGAACACGGACACAGTAGATACGGTCGAAACAAACCAAACAACACACATATTTATTTAACTACTTTTAGAACGACGATATTGTCAGCTGAATGATTATAACTTCAATTATGATCCATGCTAAGACATCCTTACACAATATTAAACAACACTCAACAACATGACAAACAAGGCAGTTTCGCTAACGCCATCAAGGCTTGTTTCCGCCGGCACTCTACCATGATGATGATGATAGTGGTGGTCAACTCTCGCGAACACGCCACCTACCCGTGATAGTTGCGACCCCTGAATGTGGCTTCTGCACGAGACACGTTCGCCACGAGACGCAAACAACTTACAGGGGGTGGCAGCACCTCCACAAATTACTGCAGCTATGATTTGCAACTTTCCTCTTGTTCAGCACCTTTCGAAGTGACAAGATGCTGGTTTAGCAGTGAACTACGAATTAGGGACCACCATAGCAGAAATGAGGTTTGTAATGACCGGAGTTGTGGTTGGCAACTTCCCTAAGGTTCAACAGCCACCAAAGTCTTCAAATGTTGCTATTTGCATAGCTTTACTTTCTATTTATTAAAGGGACCAACAACTGCCTAAAACGTGAAATGAGATGACTGCACAGATAGAAAGATTGTCCCTCATAGTGACTCAAATGAACCTTATTTTGCTTGTGAGAAGCGGAGTTATATTCCTATTCCTTCATAAAGATCACGAAAATAGCCTGGGGCACCACCTGGTGGCAGAAATTTCAAATATTCGAGCTGCCCTGTCATATGACCGTAAACTAGTGTACGTGGTCAATCATATTTGTGTTAATTATTGAAATATTGTTTGCTTCTTTATAGAAAAAGTTATTACTGCATACACATGTACTTATAGGCCTGCGCTAGAAGTGTGCAATGAAGTGGTGCTGCCTTCCCATGACGTAATGATCTCGTGCTCGTCAGCGTCTCTTGAGCAACTTTTCTATGTGCTCATGAAACCATGCACGCAGTGTCTAGGTCGCTAAGATTTTGGAGTAACGTGGTTTGGTTTTTTTACCTACATTTTGTCTCAGAAATGACGTGCAGTGACGTTTTCGGCGACTTGGCGCGTGTGTTGAGAGAGTCACGACGGGACAAGTCGTGCATGACACAGGTGCATCAACCTTGGGTGGAGGTACATGCAGTGTGGTACAAATACAGGGAAGCTGTGTAAAGCCACATCGTCCTATTGTAACGGCTTGTAATTTTCAGAAATAGTTGTAAAGCTCAGAATAAACGGGGTTAAGCATAGAGTACAGGAACTCTTGCAAAAGCAGAACTATGACAGCATGCACAAGTCGCTAGAAGGGCTGCCGGCATCGCAATCGATTCTCAGCATTGCTGGACAAAAAGGCACGTTGGTGTTCAGAGTTTTTCAAACCTAAAGATACTGCCTATAAAATAACATAACTGTGTGCTTATGGGAGTAACTACTGCAGCTGCAAATCCTGCAAAAGGTAAGCTATCGGTTGCACCGGAAAAAAAAAATGAATAGAAAAAAAATCAGTTGTCGGTCCCTTCAATAAGGATGCAGCCATAATTCTTCCATCATCATTCATGGCATGAACAAAGTGGGCCGCTACGTGGATGTGTGTATTGTTTTACAGACAAATAGTTTATATGTCAATACTTGAAAGTATCAAGAGGATGATTTATTGCGTTGTGGGTACCTCGAAATTGTACTTCAAGCACGCACTCAGGAAAATTTCCCCTGCTCAATGAAGGCTGGTCTTCCAGCTTATGCTGTGACTGTACTGTGTACTTTAAGGTTAACTGCACAAAAATAACACATGGCCACGGACTAGGAAATAGGCGGGACAAGCGCTGCGTCTTCCGTGCAAGCTTGAAATCATCTTTGTATGTCCTCGCAGATTGCCGGCTACTTGTACGGGGCCAGCCCTGTGGACAACCCACAAGTGAAGGAGATTCGCTGCATTGTGGTAGTGCCCCAGTGCGGTAGCCACCAAGGAGTGCAGCTGCCACAGGCACTGCCCCAGCATGAGCATTTGCGTGATCTGGAGCCTTTGGGCTGGCTTCACACTCAGCCCAATGAACTGCCCCAGCTCTCGCCTCAGGATGTGACGACTCATGCACGCATAATGGCCGACAACCCCTCATGGGACGGTGAGAAGACCGTTATCATCACTTGCAGGTAGGGATCGCTCTTGTTGGTCCACAACATGATGTGATGTTCATTCTTTACACCACTTCTTTTCTCTGTTTTCTCACTGAAAAATTATGGACAAAGATATAGTTGTCAGCTCACTCCTATGATGGACCTTTTCCAAGTCTGATCAGCACTTTCAGTCAAGATTGCCAAAATAATAAGTGGTGGACTTTCACCTCCGAAATTGTCTGCTGTGCAGTGGTCGACAATCTCGGAAGCGCGCATTGACAGTGCTGTTACCGTAATTACTCGAATCTAACGCGCACCTTTTTTCCGGTTAAGCGAGTTCATAAATCGTATGCGCGTTAGAATCGAGTACGAACAAAAAAATTGCGGTCAATCTATTGCCATCGGCAAATCCAAAATGGCCGCCTCCTATGTGCGTCGGCATGGCGCGTCGGCCATTTCAGCCTATGTGTTTCCCATGTGCGGCACTTCGTACGTGTGCTGAGGAGTTCGTCATCTAGTAGTGCATTAGCATCGACGGCGTGGAAGGGCCGACTCCAAAAACTCGAGTGCACCACAATGCCGCTTTTAAAAGAAAAGTCATCGCGTGTGCAGAAACGGGCGGGAATCGGGCCGCATCGCGGTCGTTTGGAGTTCCCGAAACGTGCGTGCGGGACCGGCGGAAACAAAAGCAGAAGATTGTCGACAGCAAAGCTTCACGCAAAGGCTTCAGTGGCCCACAGCAGGGTCGGTTTCCGCAAATTAAAGAGCTGCTCGGCGAGTATGTGCTTGAGCAGCGAGCGGCACAGGGGCCCCTGACGACAGAACTGCTCCAAGTGCGGGCTATGCAATCTTAGAAAAAGGTCTAATGCGGAGCCAGTTTAAAGCGAGCAGGTGCTGGCTAACTAACTTTATGAAGAGGAAAGGCTTTTCCTTTCGAAGGGGAACATGCATATGCGAAAAGTTTTGCGGTGGACTAAGATGAAAAACTTCACAGTTTTCAGAGGTTCGTTCTAAACTTGCGGCGCAACAACGGTTGCCTGCTTGGGCAGATTGGGAATGCCGATCAGACGCCTCTTTATTTCAACATGCCTGGCACCACAACCGTCGAGAAGAAGGGGGCGAAGCAAGTTCGCGTGCTGACATCGGTCCATGGTAAAACTATAGTGATGGCAATGCTCTGTTACACGTCAGATGAGCACAAGCTTCGCCCGTACCTCATATTTAAATGGAACACGCTCCCGAAAGGAGTCGTTTTTTCGAGTGGTGTGATCGTGCTGGCCAGCGAGAAAAATGGGTGCGCGTTGCAATCGATGTCTTACGTTTTTTTTTTTTTTTCGCGCTGGAAATCGGGTGCGCGTTACAATCGAGGGCGCGGTAGAATCGAGTAAATACGGTACTGCTGCGTCAATTGTGCCAAACTGCACTGAATTGTCCTGGCTGCTACACCCTGCTACATTTACTCAAAATTTAGCGAGTCTGCGCCCAACCTGCGCCATAGGGCGTGTTCGACTTTCAGAAACAAAACTATTTGAGGTTCTTTCACTGAAAATGACATCGCGGTGCACCTGCATAAGATGCAACCCGAGTCGAGCCAAGCCAAACTGGGCCAAATGTCACTGTTGGGACTATGGATTGTTGGGGCGCAGTGAATGCCCAACTTTCGGACTTGCTAGGGACCGGGAAATCATCCAAAAAAATATTCATAACTTTTTATTCCGCTCAAGTAATCAAATCGCCATCGCCCCATCTGAAATAGCTAGAGTACACTTCTCAGGCATTTGGCTGCACGCTCATGCTGTCGTAAATGCACTCTGGGCGTGCTGACGTTCATTTGCAAATATGCATCGAATACTAGCAAAGCGCGGAATAAGTTGTGGATTTATCGCACGGGGCGTGTGTGAACGATGACACAGAACATAAAGGATGGGGCGAAATAGAGGAAAACTTGTCCGGACCTCTGCGATGCGTGTGTGCACTTAGCAGATGCGCTACTGTACAAAAATCTCCGGCGACTTGCAGCACTTTCTGCCACACGAGACCGATGCTTCCTACACACGATCGTTCCTAGTTGTCTGCAGCACATCACCTACACAGCTGACGTACGCCATTCCTGCCGGGGTGCTTTCGTACGCACTCGTTTGTCATAAAAATGTGTTCTTGATGCCCACTCCGTTCCTTATCACACATGGGTGTGGCGATGGTGAGCTGCTTTTGTTCGTGAAGGCACCATGTCTGTGGGTCACACGGGGTACACTTAGCTGATTCGCACAGAAAGGTAGCGTGAACGGGGCCTCGCGTGAGTAGTGAGAAGCAGTTAGCTGAAGATGCTTATCATAAAGCGATTAAGTCTTATTGGCGTGTTTGTCGGTTTGCCGCCTTCATGCCTCCGAGCATTTCTGGGCTTATTCATTAGACATCACCTCACTGCGCGGTGATACCAACCCCTTCAAATTTTTCTATTGCTTCACCCCATAGGATTCATGCATTGCAGCAAAGCTGACTTTTGGACATAACTGTGACATGGAATGATTGTTCAAAGCACTCATTTAAGCCCATAAGGTAATAGGCGTAGCAAAGGTAGGGACATTAAGTAATGCTGTTTCATACCCGGGATGTCGGCTAAAAGCCCCAGAAAAAATCAGATGTTGAAGAGTGTCAGCGTCAGAAATTTCAGGTGTTTTTTTACATAGACGTTGATAGAACTTGTGATGCTGTCGACTTCGATCCTAGCATCGCAACACATCAGCCTGATCACTAATCGGTGTGTGTTGCTTGCTAGACCTATACGTACAAAAGCCTAGCGCAAATGCGCTGCTTAGATGTGTTTATATTGAGCAGTGACGAAAAGTCTACAGCCAATAGCTGAATAAAACCTTTGCAGGGCTCATGCAATGGTGTTTAAACTGTGACGTATTAAGCTAACAAGCTTTACTGCTGTCATATTACAAATGATTGTCTCTGAAAGCCAGTGCCCAATCTCAAAATATACAGCGGGTGTCTATTTGCTGTAGATTCACTTTAAAAGCACATTCTTGTTCATATGAGTCCGGCCATGGCGTTTCTCCAAGTTAATAGTTAATAATACTTTGCAAAAAAAAAAATTCTTCTAAGTGACTAGATTGCTTATGTATTGGCAGACTGCAATAATCCATGATGAAACAAACGCCAAAAAGTACAAACACTCAGAAAGGATACAAGACGAGCGTTTACTAGCAACTGAACATTTTGGTTTCGTAACAAACACTTGTATATGCACAACACGCATGTACGTCATCTCAAACCACACCTGTTATCTTCACCGTGATAAACCGAAAAAAAAAAAACAATCCCATTATCGATGGCACACAATTGAAAGAACATGTGTTAAGCCCCTCAAAAACTAAGAAAAGAAATTCTGAAAAGAAAATGCACAAGGTTATGTCACGTCCAAAAAAGCAAATTCCGCATCTGTTAGTAGAACAGACGCTTGACTGACGCACATGTCATTTCCTTTCTTAATTTGACACACTTCCATCATTTCCATTAAGAAGTGGACGAGAGAATTGCTCGAAATAATGTGAATTTGGCACAAAATTCCTTGCAAATGTTTAGCGGATACAACGCTTCTCAGAACAATGGCGAAAAATAACGTAGCAAATGCTGGTCTACTACCCAGAAATTATTAATATTATAAAGGGGCCCTGCAACACTTTTTGAGCATGGTCAGAAAACGCTGCCGATCGGCAGTAGAGGCTCCAAACAACGCGCTGGCCAAATATTATAGCGCAGCACGTGGCCTGGAATTCACAATAAATTATCAGTCAGCTAAAAATTGCATTCTCTTCCCTCGAAAAAATGACAGAAGAGGCTAAAAAAATCACTCATAGAAAGCCTACCTATCAGCCATTGGCTGAATTGAACATGGCGCGTTCGGTCGTTACAGAGACCACCGCGGGAGGCCGCGACTTCTACACGCGTGTGTGCGGGATCACACTGAAGAAGCTGCGCACTTGAAGAAAAAAAAGAAAAAGTGCTCAATGTCACTAGGCGTGGGTGACGTAATTTCTTCACCCCTGCCATTCCTCTCTGCTTAGCTTCCAGCGCTTTCATCGGGACGAGAGAGTGCAATGGCAGCACGCGTCAAATCTTTGTAACCTTACTCGCACTGGACGGATTCTTGAAATTTTTGCAGCGTTGAGTTCCTGAGGCAATAAGCTCTTCCAGTGAATTCATTACATGGTTACTTGAACAAGTGTTTCAGGGCCCCTTTAAGGTGCCCAGCAGTGTACTTGCAGCATTTACCCCAATGAGTGTTCAGAAAAGGCTCAGAAAGGTCGCTCTTCTAGGTTTCGCTGTGACTGTGCTGCGCCTTCCGTGCAGGCCTGGCAATTTTTTTTTTTTTTTTTATGGAAAGAACAGTTTCTGGCAGTAAATCTTGAAACTTGTACAACCATTTCGCAACATAAGAAACTACCAATTGTGTATCTTGAGTTATTTTTAATCTCATTATTTTTTTAAGTTCCTTTTAAAATGCTAACTGTATAATGATTGCAGAAATTTTTCATTTTAAACATTTTTTGCTTAATATCTATAATATATAGTGTGCTACATTTATGATATTGGACAGAGCATTCCTTTAGTACAGTTTGGTACAAAATAATGTAAATAAGGCATTATTATCTAGCCACAAAAGAAATTTTTTACACCTAGTTAAAACAGCCTCTTTTCCCGCGGTAGTGAAAGAGTTAAACATTGCGTGTCCCAGGAAGCAGGCGGTACATTTGGCACCTAGCAAGCAAGCACCGCAGAGCAGAGATCATCATAGGGCTGCAGGGTGGAGCTTGATGCAGCAGCGAGATGACACAGCTCTGCCAAGAAGGCGTGAAGTAGAATAGCTTGCATCATCGGTTGTGCCGTGACGCCATTCAGCGCGAGATCTGCATTGAGCTACATGAACCATACTTCGGGGTAGATCAGGTAGAAAGGCTTCACTGGCGGACAGAGTCACGGTGACGTGGCAGTGGCCGCACATCGTAGAGCGTGCTTTTTGGGTCACCAATTCTATCGGGCCAAATCAGAGCAACGTCAGCTGCCAGCATCTGAACAGACAGGCGCAAAAACTCCTTCTCATCTGGCAGGCGCACCGAGCCCCCAACAGAAGTGGCGCGAGAGGCACAGTGTGTTGGCTAAAAAGTGACGACGATGATAAATGATGACACTACAAGTCTTTCGTCTTGGGGGACTGCACCATAAACAGTATGCGTATACATGTGGTTTTATGGGAAGGTAAATGGGATTTCAAAAAGATCGCATTGTATCCGGTTCCGCACTATAGGCGGTTATGTTATAAGTTTATAACTAGTCCGCACAGTAAATGCTGCCAGTGGAATACAATCAGATATAGCTAGATGAAGACCACGGCAAGTTCTCATATTGGTAAGGTCGTTGTGTTGCTTGCTTCAGGCAGTGAACCTATCACTATCAAAATGTTATGTAAAATAGACTCGTAATTTTAAGGTTATAGCACAGCTGTGTTTGAGGTTGAAGAAAAGGAAGCCAGTGAACAGGGGAAAAACAGACGATAGGATTAGCGCTCATCCTGTCGTCTGTTTTTCCCCTGTTCACTGGCTTCCTTTTCTTCAACCTCAAACAGAGCTCTGCTATAACCTTACGATTTCATCATGCACCAACTCGTCCAATATGCAATATAAGAGACTGTTTCCAGTCCAGCAAGTATTAGTTGATGTACTTCGGTAATACGTTCTGACAGGCTAGTTGGTACATTGTTGGTAAATGTTTTAAGGATGCTTGCTCTGTTCATTCTTCCCTTAAATGTCCCCATTTGTGGGCATGTTCTGTTGCGCATAATTGTGATGGTGGCCATTTGTCCTGAGCAGCTTCACGCCTGGCTCCTGCTCTCTGACTGCATACAAACTGACACCAAGTGGCTACGAGTGGGGCCGTCAGAACACAGACCGAGGCAACAACCCAAAGGGCTACTTGCCATCTCACTATGAACGGGTCCAAATGCTGCTCTCGGACCGCTTTCTTGGCTTTTTCATGGTGCCTGCCCAGGGATCCTGGAACTACAACTTCATGGGTGGGTTCTCTCTCGTCTTTTTAAAGGCGTCTGTGTTCTTAACTACAAAAGTGCAAATGAACATGATTAACAATACAGTAGATTCGCGATAATTCAAACTCTGATAATTCAAGCAAAATTCATATTTTTATTGGTCCTCTGTTCTTTCAATGTATTTAAAAGCTTCTTAATTCAAGCCCCATCATTTTGTTAATTCATAGTTTTTGCAGTTTCATACCAGAAAATATCTGCTGGTTTCCCACTACTACTTGAAAATTAGCATGCTTTATAATCCTAACAGTCTAAAAATGAAAAATGAGTGCCTCAGGCCTTCAAGGAAAATGGCTTTGCTAGTATAAAAATGTTTGAAACGAGCACGTGCATGGTGTACCATGATGCCTCTCAACTGGTATAAAGAGCTTTGTGCTGAAGGCACATATAGTAAAGAAGCAGTTGGCAATTCACGATTTCTTTAAAAGGTCTGATCAGCAGTAAAAAAGAGTTGCCCCCGTTGTGATCATGTGGCAAAACCAAAACCATAAAAGGGCGTTGCTCATCAGTGCTGCTGCAGACTTTGCAATGCGCTGGTGCTAGAAATCTGTTCTGTTTATCTCCACTAAAAGATAGCACAATTATATCCTACACCTATAAACCCAAGGAGGTGGCGGCACGTCCTTGTGAGCAAGTGTCATCATTACAGTGCAAAATTTCAAGTGGAGGGTCAAGAATGTGCCTGTACGGCAAAGACGTGAGAGTGAAGACCACTACTGTACATATACGGCAAAAGCACTCGAAGAGTTAAGTGGAGCAGAAGTATTGATATCCAGGCCACTTGGTTCACGATGCTTGAAGAAGAGCCAGCAAAAGCACAGGACTCTAGAAAAGGACAAACGCACACACAGCTGGAGCCACCTGGATTGCAACTGTTCTTTCAGTATACACCTTTATCCTGGGAAATTATTTGTTGCACTATTAGATCTTAAGAGGGGGACATGTCCCTTGAAAACCAAAAAAACATTTTATTGGGTTGTATGTCTCCACCCATTCTGTAATTATCAGCACCTAATTCAACCGCAAAGTGAAAAAAAAAAAATTCTATTTTCAAGGCTGGGCGGTATCCAAATGCGGAAAAAAAAAATCGAAAACCGAACCAAACTTCACGCGCGTCATTCCCGGACCACGGGGTCGACTAGCACTATCCCTGTGTTGTTTTGAGTGTGGATTCTTTCTCTCTCGTTTGCAGTCCTGTAAAGTGTCATTGGCACCATGTTTGAGATGCTATTGGCGTTTTCCTGCAAAGCGATGCGGTGCGCTGATTGGCTAGAGCAGCGCATTCATATCCTGCGAGCGAAAGCGCGCATGCTATTGGCTACTGCACAGCAGCAGGGGCAGTCGCTTATTCCGATGGAGCTCGCTCACCCCGTTGTTACTCGCCTCAGCCGCTGTCTTCTGCGTCGTTCTTTGCCTCTCATGCTATTTTTCGATAATTTTCTCTTCTTGATTCCTTGCTTGCATTATTTTTGTGTTTGCCATACTTGTTGCGCTCGATGCCGGTAATGAAGTCAAAGACAGTGCGGAGGTCCTGCGCATGGATGCGCGCTATGTGGTTTATATAAGCGTCGCAATTCCGCTGTTCTACTGGGAGTGCCGACTGCGTAGACGCTTGCAGCGGCGGAACTGTGTTGTCAGCAGTCGCCAGTCGAGAATTCGACACATCAAGTGTAGCTGGAGCCGCATATGCACCAAGTGTTTCCGACACTGAGGACTTAGTACGTGCTCTGAATCGGTGCTGTTGAGCGTGACGCCGAGTGTTTCTGAGATTGCTGGACCCAGCATTTGAATGTTTTACGGCTAAAAATAAATTACAAACGACACTAAAAGAAGATGCAGGTGAGGCGAAAAAAGAAAAGAGTTCGTCAAGATAGGTGTGAGCCAAAAATTGAGGATCTATATCTATATCTACTTCCAGCTATGCTCCTGAAGCTTTTTGAAGAAAGCGCAAGTGTCGAACTTTCTAAGCCCGTTTTCTCAGAACGGATTTTTTTGCTAGTTGTGATGCTGAAGAAAGCTAAAGCTCAGACCGCTCATCAGATTTGTGTGCCGTATCTTTATCTGGCTTTTAAATTACTTTTTCTTTTTTAAGGTACAATAAACTTCTTTTCTTTAAATTGGTGTCGTTGATTTATCATAAACAATTCAGTTTTGATGAATATGCTCATTACATACCTGCGAACTCTCCTGGGCTTCGACCGTTTCTTCCGCTTGTACGGTTGTGAAAATCTCCCGGAAATTGTAATTTCTGTGCATGATCTGGCCGTACTGACAAAAAAGCAGCTTAATCCGCTCCAGGCTTTTCGAACCTACCCCATTTTATTATAATTGAGTTTAAGAGGCGTTTATCTATAGGTACCGTAGAATCTCAGTGATGCAAGACTGCAGCAGATACAAATTCGTGACAATCCTCGGCCAAATTCCACTATGTTCATTGGGCCTAAATTTGAATGTTCTGAACACATTTCCTAATTGTGGTAAGTGATATGAACTTTAGTACGGAAACCATCGAACGAAGGCCGAGAGCAGCGCTCCAAGCTTTGAAGTATGCGTGCGACCGGGGAACGCGCACTGTCTTTTACCGTGTGTGTGATTGTCATTGCCACAATTGCTGCGGACGAACCCGTGGTCGCTCTTGACACGATTATGTGTGCTCAACCAGTGTGTGCTCCCCCGAAAGTGTGTGCTCAACCAGTCAAAGCAACGCTGCTTTTCGCAAACTCTGCAGACAAAACTGCGGCAGATGTGATCGTAGATCGCATAAAACGACTTAGTTTTTAAGCCGTGTGCGCAGCCAAGTGCACGGGGGTTGTAAAAGGAACTGAACTACCGTTTGCCGCAAATGCCGCGCACAAAACCACGGTCGCGGCGACACGATAGCGATCTACGAGCTCCGAGGGCACGCAGCAGTAGAATAAAGGCCATAAACATGTAAAAAAAAAAGGTTAGTTTTGCCATACGGACGAAGCAATGAATGTGACAGCGAGAGCTTGGAGTGTCACACCGAGAATGGCAAGCAGATTGAAACTTGCTGCACGCTGCTCATGCACAAATGACGCACGAAAAACTATACACACAGGATGAAAGCGAACTAACAACGTTTACTGCTCGACACGTAACGCACTGTTTAAACGAAAACGATGCACGATACGTAATCACAGGTACAGATGAGTGCAAACTATACTCGGCGACAACTTTTCTTAGCACTGAAAAGGAAAGCTACGGAGGCAAATCGTGTGCATCCTAGTGCCTGTGAAGGTAGTTCCAAATTCCAAAGTAGCACCCATATTTCGAGTGTGAAATATAAATGTTCCTTTTTTATTTTCTACGTGGAGCTATTTGAGACTGGACGCAGCTCACACCTGTAAGGTATTCGTATTTCTTTTAATTTATCTGTTGTCTTTTTTCCGCCTTTTTACGTGCACCTCAAACACTAAGCGGCGTCTGGCTCTTCATGAAATGCTGATGGAGCGCCCCCGTCACTTTTCATAGCATTACGAGACTCCCGCCAAAACGGACTACATTGCGTAGTACTACATGTGCAGAAGCTCCACCTACGTAGCTTTCCCATCAGTTCCAAGAAAAGTTGTGTATGAAAAGCGCGCTCTTTTCGCAAACGGGGCCTGTGGAAAGACCGAAGTGACCTTTGAGGGCTGGCAACTAATGCAATGGTTCCAGTTAAAGCCGAAGGCACACGATTCTCCCCAATAAAAGATAAGGGCGGGCACACAAGCATCTAATCCCCCCCCCCCCTTCGGAGAGGGAAAGTACGCATGAGATAAGCGTGTCCCAGCGCATCGCGATGAGCTGGGTGCCGCGTCGAGCGCGGGCTGCTTGTTTTTTTTCTTGAGTGTTCATACATAAAATCTGTTCAATTCACCTGCACCAATCGGACAATCGGAACCGGTTTACGGCTGTGCACACGAAGCTCGGAAATTGTGCAGCGTGAGTTCAGCGGTGCAGGCACAGCGCGACACCAGAAATGAACGACTGTCGACAAAGTGCAACCCTTATTTCTGTTTGCTTAATTAACAACATTTAACTAACACTGACCGATGGCAAACTGCACATGTGGGCAATATGAGGCGTAAACATCTTGGCAAAACACACCGCGTTAGTAAGGCAGGTACGGCGCCTAGCCTAAGCGCTGTGTCGTCTGCTCATCTGTACGCACGGCTGCACCAAGCTGGCACCGTAAGCGTTGGAGGTGCAGGAAAATAGTGAACCAGTGCGGCACCTCTTCTGCACCTTTTGAAACTAATATCAGGGTTCAGAGGTCGTCAATGCTGCACCGTTGAAACAAATGGCAAGGTGCAGCACCTTGTGAACTGGTTCACATGGTGCAGGCGAATCGAACGGACCTATATAGTAGATATGTATACGTATACGGTGAATGGTGAATGACGGCGGTAACGGCAAAAAACCAGCCTAGACTGTTCATACAATAGACCTCTCCCTGTTTGTAAACAGTGCGACGTCACTGCGGGCAACCCGCCCACCATACCCTCTTTCGGAGCAGGTGCTGGTTGGCAAGAAAGTTCTGCTGACGGCATCTTTCTGCATAGCAGAGCTGCGTGTCTACATTCCTTCGACAGAAATTTCTACATTGCGATGTTCTATAGTCACAGCTTTTGAAAGAAGGGGGTCGCAAAAAGGTCACTGGTCATAGTGTGGAAATTCGCTCGTCGTAGATGGATGGATGGATGGAGAAACTTTATTTAGAGTACTGAGAGACGCGACTAGCACGCAGTGTGCTTCAGGCACGTAGATGGCAGCCATAAAAAAATCTGATGTATTTCGAAAGCAAACGTTTTGAATGTATAAGGTGACTGGCACTTTGAGAAATATTTGCATCGCATGGATGTAAACTTGAAATTCAATTTCCATCGTGGCATGTGTAGTGCAGTTTTAAACGAGGTACGTACAGCATTGGCGGCAGCATGGTTTTGACCTGCTGTGTGTGACGTCACGGATAACATTGTCACTCATTGCGCAAAAGTCAGATAGGAGATGAAAAAAAAAAAAAAAAACATTTCTTGCCATGCATTCGGCTGAGGTTAACATATCCTCGTGAAAGTGAAATTCTGCCGCTGCGTTTCTCAATAACCCAGTGAAAATTCATGGGATGTAAAAGCCGACAACTTATAATATATAATATTATCTGGCACAGTTACTTTGCTGCATTTGACAACTATAACATGTTTTCGTACCTATATTACTCCTTTAGGCTTGATACACAAACTTCTAATGCGCATTGTCACTTCGTAAGGATCGAGCCGTAAAAGCACAAGGTAGATAAGAAACGAAAATTACTGCTGTTTTTATTAACACGTATCAGGTGTCTGATAATACGAGTTATAGCCATGGTGAAGCATATATGCAGATTCGGCAACGCAACAACATGCTCGTATATATCAGTAGTCGTATATATCACCCGGAGATCATGCACTTTTATTTTGCACGCCGCGCATATGCTGAGATGAACTCACTCGCAGATGATTGCGTCAAAAATATTTTTAAATATATATATTCACACTGCACACACCACGCACAATATTTCCAGTTTGACCTACCGTAAAGGTGAACCAATATTGTCGATGCCTTTCAACGCACACTATACACCACAGTCAACACTGCACATTTTCGAAGACGATGCCGCTGTTCGTCGCATTAGCCTCCACGTGTGTTCACTTATTCGAGATAAACGGCCACCAGTGTGGAAAATATTTCATCACTCACTTTACCACGCACCTAGATGTTCTCTGACACATACCACAGCTAATGTTGCCACTGTGAAATGAAGATTAAGCTTTTAAAAGAAAAAAAAAACTTGTCCCAAGCATCTAGCAACTGCACCCCACTCAGCCACCAGAGCGAGTATTTTGCCAACCACCGCCTTGCACATGCACTGGTGACGTCACGCTGTGACGTACCCCGGTAAAAGTCTATTGCTATCAGAATCAAAAGAGGCCAGATGAGTTTTGGCTTTCCTGTCAAAAGAATTTAGTGAGCAAAGCTATGACCCGTGCTTTTGTGGCAGCCAGCTGCGCCGTCCCGTTCGTTCACCCGTGTTCCAAGAAGACATGCGCGAGTTGTTGACAGAAATAGATTCTGTCAGTTGTGTTGATTCTTTCAGACTCTCACCTTGGTGGGTAACCCTACCCTCGTGCGTTCGGCCATTCCGAGCCAGTATAAGACCGCAACACTGATGTTGGCACTTGCGATTAAGACCTTACCCCACCCCCTCTTGTTTTTGCGATATTTTGTTTGTTTGTCCTTGTTTTTTTTTGCCGCAAAAAAAATAGGGGCAAATAATTCAACACACCCCCTCATCCCCCCTTCCGTTGCGGAAATCTCCCTGTTGCAGAATCCTTGAACTTGGCAGGTATGTAATAACAAGCTACACCGAATTCAGTCGCGTGAACATTTTTTGGAAAGAAAAAAAAAAAAAACGGATTTGTAGTGCCCTGGGATATCTATCAAAAGATGACCTCAATGAATTTGAGCTTTCAACTATGTCCTGGGAGTCCCACAGGCACGCACGTAAACAACCCAGTTATACCTCAGCAACTCTGGAACTAAAACACAGCTTCATGGAACTTTGCAGTTCCTCTAGTTTTAGTGTAGTGAACATGCCCTGAAAGTTTCCTCCAGATATCTTATAAAAATAAAAAAGTTCCGTCTCCAGGGTGGCCTATTCTCTTAAAAATCCCCTAAACCAGCTCCGGTAGTTTTTCAAACATTTCAAGTGAACATGCGTATTGTAGGCAGAACGTTGTCACGGTCAACGATGCCACACGTGACAGTGTGATGAGCCACAAACTCGAAAAAACGATTCCGCCTCCTCTCCAGGCCTTTCTGGCCTCCATGTGACGCGCAGCGCAGTGCATTCTGACGCGCATTGCATTCATGCTGTGATTGGTCGGGCAACTGGTTAGTCTGCAAGCAGCTGTCCGCACTCCTTGTCCGTCGTGTTGCCCGTGTGCGCCCCCCGCCCTGCAGCACATATTCTCCTAGGCACGCACAGACCGGTGGGGGGGATTCTTAAGAAAAAGTTGAGAAGGTAAGAAAATGGGGTGTGGAGTGCACGATAACTGTCTATCATGTGAGGACACCTCAACCAGTACACTCGCGGGGGAACAGGTACTCAAGGGACAGTGAGAGTGAAAAAAGAAAGTAACGCAAAAGATTTGAGGGGAGAGTGAAGAAAATGCGAAGTAAAAAAAAGTGGGTGCGTGGGGGGATAAATCAAGGAGGGGCAAAACCAACAAAGGCGACTCGTGGAAACGGCGAAAAACTCCTCTGGGGCACTTGGTGAGAGCGCAAAGCGGCTTTGAGAGAGGATACAAGTGTAGGCTAACCAAAAAAAAGAGCGAAAGGAGTGATCGCCGCGTTTTGATGATCGAATGCATCTAACTCCACTATTACTAAGCCACTGTTTCAAACAATTCTCACAGCTCTGTTTTCGTTGTACACTTGCGCGCAGCTTCCTCGCCACAACTGAATTTCAAGTTCTGGGTGATTTAGGGGCCCTTTAAAGGGACACCAAAGAGAAACTATAGCTTGGCTTAGATTGACAAACCGCACTCCGAGAACTGTTTTACTATGGTAAGTTCATTATTAGCCGAAAAACTCAAGTTTTATTTTTAAATTTTGCACCAAAATCTCCACGCATGACGTAAGATATTTCAAAATGTATTTTTATTATTTTTGTGACAAATCTCGATGAAATTTTCTGAAACTTGATAACCTACATCTATGTCAGCATCCACAGATGACAATGCACTTCTTTTTTTATCGATTAGAAGCTACCTAGGGCCCAGTAGACTCAATCAAAATTTATGAGGTCACGCTTTTTGGAGCAAGAATATCATGGTGGTGTCTCCAACCACGTTTCCTTTTTGTGTGTTTTGTCGCTTACCAAGCATCACGTCGTGTTAAGAATGCAGTTTTCAGGATTTTGAAATTGTACTTCACTAATACAGGAAACATTGTTTTGCATTATAGTGTTCCTTTAAGGGAAAAATAAAGGAGGAAACAATCATGAATTTCATTCACAAGTAAAAGGTTGCAGAGGCACCTCCATTCTTGTAATCAACATGTGTACGTTTCTGTTTACCACATTTGTTTTTGCCTCAAACGAGGGTCTGTTTATACCTTCATTACAGTTTTAATTTTATATATTGCTGTGGTGATCGCTTTGAAATTCGAATTTACAAATTGGTAAAACAGGCAATTTACATGGTAATTCTGAAATTGAGCCTTGTATACTAAGCATATAGTTGCCAATAAATTATTTTTTTTATTGAAAAGTCACTCTTTAATTTCATTATGGTTCCAGGTGTGCGGCATGATCCAAGCATGAAGTATGAACTACAACTCGCCAACCCTAAGGAGTTCTACCATGAAATTCACAGACCTTCACACTTCCTCAACTTCAGCAGCCTGGAGGAGCCAGACTCTATTGGCAATGACAGAGAGGACCTTTACGCTTGATTTTTTTCATAGTGTATGACCATCATCACCATTGTGTAAACATTAAAGCCTTTTTAATTATTGTTTGCAATCTCTGGTATCACTCACCTATGCTCGTAGCAGAACAGCTGGACCAATTCTCTTCCCTAAAATTTTCTGTAAAATTTCTCATCATGCTTCTATTACCATAGTACCTCCGACACTGATATAGTGCAGTAACCTGACACTTCACATATTAGACTGCTTGCTTCTTTCTATACCAGCCGTGGATTACCTGCAAGATAAGCTGTAGCAGCTGCGATATTAATTCCTAATGGCGCAGCGACATCAAGAGGGAAGTTTTCTTGTAGGGCTTAGTCACTCTGAAGGAACTAGTTATCATATACTATTTTTTACCTAATTAGCTCTCCATCAAGGCAATTACAATATTATAGAAAGGAATGGCCAATAGCTAAACGTAATACCCCCCCTGCCCCGCATCTTTTGAAAGTGGTGACCAACAGGTAACTAAGGCAAAGTTTTTATTTTTAGACACAGCTGTGACTAATAGCGTCATAGATTTTTATCACACTGCTTCTGCAGGGAAAAGTCTTCTACCTACAAAAACATGCTGGGTTTCCTGCAGTATGGGTCCCTATGCCGTGCTTTCATGCCATGCGCTCAGCACTGTGAAGAAGGCTACAACTGAGTGCAGGTTTTGTGACGTCAGGCTACTCTGCTCTTTTCATTTCATGCTACCTCTCATGTAATTTATGTGACTGGTGGCACAGGTGTGTTTCGGAAGAAGTAAACATAAATTTGTCAATCGGATGCTCTTACAAAGAAATATCTTTCTTTTACCCTAAAAAATGCATGCTCTTTCTTTTTAAGTGAATTTTAAGTGGGAAGTGGAATCGAAGCACAGAAACTTTGGTCTAATAATTTCCAACCGAATCGGAATGGTATATATAACATATTTTAAAGAAAAATGTGCATATTTTTGGTGAGCTAGCCTGCACAATGTTTTTTTTTTTTGTATTGAAACAAAAGCTGTGCAAATGCCATTTTCTTGCTTTAAGAAAGTGAAAGTAGAAGGATTTGACTTTCGGTAGAATACAAGTGATAAACTATGAAATATGTTATGTATTAAAATTTACCATACGTAGACCGTACAGTCGATCTTGTATATATCGAACTCTAAGGGGATTGCCAAATAGTTCGATATATCAATTTTTTGAAATACAAAATATGCGTATTTAAGGCCTAAGTTAAAGCGTTTCAGGACTCTGAAATCGTTACGCCGATGCAAGCTTTGAAGCGCTGCAATAGGTTGGTTATCGGCGGCAGCGAAGGAATTGGCACATGGATAACCACGCGGGTACACTTTAGCAGCACCGGCAACGGCAGCATCGATGCAGTCAGAAACGGCGACATCTGCACCGATGAAGTCGCTCCCTGTCCGAGATAGTGCCCGGAAACGCTGATAAGTCGCAGGCTTCACTGAAACACCACACGACGTGTCAGCCCGCGTAGTCGTCACCTGACCCGGAAGCAAAGTTTGTGGCGGTGCTTAAAGGCCAAACCCCATAAACAGGAAAAATGCTTGCGACGAGCGATGCTAAGAGCGACGAAACAGGGCGTTAGTACACTGTAGCGTTAGCGCGACGTGTCGCGTGCTCGTTTTCGCGTGATCGCTCGGTTGTCCAGATTTGGAAACCATCGCCCGAAAGTGCTCTGCTAAAAGCGCCGGAACAGAATGCATTACTGACGTACTTAGCATCATATAGTTAATATCGTTCCATCATGGCGGAACCCGGGCGGTTGTAGGTTTTAATGCACGAACCCTATGGGGAGCTTTTCCTCTAGAGTATGTGTATTAACTCTATGCTCTCCATGTGCCGCTGTACTAAAGTGTACTAGAGGTGTTTAGTGGCGTGACCGCGCCTCGCCACCTAATGTCTTCTGCGTTGCCCGTAGCGGCGGCGCTGCAGTCGCATAGTACTTAAAGCCCATTGATCTTGAGAAAGTCCGCAATCCACTGTACTCTAACTCCTTGCCCCCCTTCGCATTCTCCCGGTGTCCGACACTTTTTCTGCACGATGACTGGTCTCCTTCGCGGTTGTCTTTAGAAACGCGTGGACCTTGCGTTTTGCTTTTTTTTTTCTTATCGCTCGCGCCGTTTTTCGCTGACGCTCCGCATAACAACCGTAGCTCGCGCTTTGTTATCTGTGCTTTGTGCGGGCACTATGCCGTGCTGTTGCGCATATGACTGCAACAACCACAGTGGAAAAGGTTACGCGCATTTTATGATACCCCAAGGTAAACGCGATGGCTTGCGCAAGCAGCAGTGGCTCCACGACATCGACCGAAAAAACTTCGTTCTAACAAAGAACAGCGCTCTTTGCGAGGTAAGACACCTTTCTTATTGCTCGTATCAAAGCATCGCCGAATGCTGCATTTGAAATATTGTTTCGGCATGCTCATCAACATATGCAAGTGTTCTTTAGGGGCGAAGCTCCTTGCGCCGTGGGTCGTATGTCCATTGTCGTTGTACTTGTCGTAGTAGATAGACAATTGCATTGCATTGGATATTAATAAAAACGGTGTCACAGCATATCTACGAAGTGATTAATGAGCGTCCGTCCATCCATCCGTGTGTGCATCCGTCCGTTCGTCTGCACGCTTTGCCCCACTCGTCATCATTCACCTCGAGGATATGCTGTGATTTTTTAAAGACGATAGTATTTCTTGGAGACCTTCGACGCATAAATTTTGGTCTGTCTGTCTGTACATTTGTCTGTTTGACCACTCCTTACCGCATCGGGTACTTGAAACGGCCGACCCCATCCGCAGCGCCAACCAATGTTTCTCAAGAATCAGCGTTGATACTTGTGCAATTGTCGATTAAAAAGCAATATAAACAATGTAAAACAATATAAACAAAATTTGGTACGTGTTACGTGACGTCAATGGATGACGAAATATATGACTGGTGCAAACATGATAATCCTGACACGCGTGTCATGTAAGAATATGTCAACATACCACGCTCATAGCAGGCGTTTCGCTAACTCCACATATACTAAATTTGGTATCACGTGACGCGAATAGATGACAAAGGTAAAGATACATCCAAACATGATAATTATGACCAGAAAGTCATGTACGGCATAATTTACCTACACCTCGTAACGTTGAGCTGATTTCAAACGGACATATCAACCTTTCTCATTCGTGCTTTGCATATCATCGATTCCCACTGTACGTGGGATCTGCCAATTTTTTTTATTACTAGTAGTATCGGAACGCGCCGGGCCGTGCTGAGGGAGTGCGGCACTGCATCGGGATTGTCAGTCAGCGCCACCAGTAGTCATGGTGGCGAATGTAGCACACTCTGTATGAGCCTGTTTGACCTAATGCAGCACGTGAACTAACTACGAGCTGGCAGCTGACTAATAGTCCCTTGTTATTCGAAGGTCGCAGGTTCGGTTCCTGCCCACGGCAAGTTATTTTTCACCCACTTTTCTTTCTTGACATTTTCATTACAATTCGGTCTAATAACTTTCCCTGAATGAGATGGGCATGGCTCCAACTCGTTCTATGCCCGTGGCATTACCCCCGTTCCAAAAAAAAAAAAAAAAGAGTACCGCCCTGATGCTCGATGCCGATTAAAAGTTAAAGTACTCGCGTACACGCACAAAGGCGTGTGATGAAGCAGTGTCAAGTGGCTCGAGGGTAGTGTGGCTTCATCGGTGACACATGAACAATGTCCGCCTGCTGGGAAAATCGAGATCGCCTAGCTGTGTCTTCAAGCAGGACTTCGTAGTTGACATCTGTTAGGCGCCATAGTACTTCAGTGCATTCAGACGACGGACCGAATCCGGATTTGTCGTGGACGCGGACAGCTAATCCGCGGATGGTCCGCCTGCAGGCGCATCCACACGACGGACGGTGTCCTAGGGGAAAACAGCCGGATTACCCTCGACAGCAGATTCGGCGCTCACCTGCGCCCGCTGGCAGCAGACCGGTTTGAGAGTATTCAACATGGATGCCCGCAAGAAGCGAAGCTTGGCTGCGATGTCTGTCGTGTTGTGACAAATGAACGAGTAGTGTTATTCTTTCAGGAGAAAAGGGAGTTGCTAGCAGGATATTCTTTCAACTACATTATTCCCAACTTGTAGAACTTCTAAACGTGTCTCCCGCCTTTTTTTCTTTTGAAGCGGCACGTCGCCGGTTGCAAAAGTTGGAATATTTCACCACCATGACGGCTAAGAATCTCGCGTGTTAAGCGACGGCGGCGACATTTCCCGAACCACCAAAAGTGATTTCTGCATATTTAATCACCTGAGAACAATGTCTCCGGAAACTAAGTAAACAATGCTCAGCATATATGATGCCGACCAGTCATGCAGCTGTCCGCGAGCCATGGAGGACATGCCGCGAGCAGACGAAAAATGTACCGGTTGCCACCGACCCCAAGCTATTCCGCTGAAGTACCGGCTCTCCCCCGCCAGAATCCCGATGTGAGAAACAGGTTGGGTTCATCCGTCCGCGAGCCGCGCGGACGAGGGGAATCGCTGATGTGAGGTCACGTGACGCGCCGTCCGTCCCGCCACATCGGGATTCGATCCGTCGTCTGAATGCACCATATTATAAGGACCGAAGTAGCGGTGAAGTAACTTTTCTGAGCGGCCCCTTTGACGAACGGGGATCCACAGCCACACCAGTTCACCGGGTTGGTAAATAACATGGCGATGACGGGAGTTGTACTTCTGCGAGTCCATGCGTTGTTGTTTTCGGATCCGCTCGAGTGCAAGCTGGCGGGCCGCTTCGACGAGCCGGATAAAGTCGTTCGCATCAGTAGGAATATCGGTCATATCAGGCAAGAGCATGGCATCCAGCATCGTAACTGCTTCTCGGCCGCGAAGCAACCGGAAAGGAGTGAAACCTGTAGTCTCTTGAACTGCAGAGTTGTAAGCGAACCTTACGTACGGCGAAATTTCTTCCCAGTTTTTGTGATCGCGGTCGACGTACATGGATAGCATGTCAGCGAGCGTCTTGTTTAATCTCTCCGTCAGGCCATTGGTTTGTGGATGGTATGCGGTTGTTTTT